TCAATCCAGAAAATCATAGCATTTCCTTCTTCAATGATGGTCTTGGAAATTCCTCGATGGCTTTCATCTTCACGTTCCTCAGTGTCTTTCGTCCGTGTCTGATGTTGTACCCAAAGAACATCACTTCCACCTTCGCAAATTCTGTTTTTGCCAAGTTTATGAACAACTTTGCCTTCCATAGTCTCTCAAAGAGCTCTGCCAAATACTCCATCTGATCTTTCCACAAATGGCTGAACATTACTAAGTAATCTATATAGATGGTACAATTAGTCAATCCAGCCACAACTTTGCTCATAAGTCTTTGAAAAATGGCTGGTGCATTTTTCATTCCAAAGGGCATGACTTTAAATTGATACAGCCTTACAAAAGCAGAAACTTCTTTCACTCTCTCTGACAAGGGTACTTGCCTGTAACTGTGAAGTAAGTCCAACTTTGTGATATAAATGGCTTGTCCTACTTTTTCCACACAGTCCTCCAGCCTTGGAATTGGGTACGAGTCAGATTTAGGCACAGCGTTGACCTTCCGATAATCTACGCAGAATTGTTGAGTACCATCAGGTTTGGGAACCAACATGATCAGCGAACTCCTCTCGCTTTGACTCGGCTCCATGGTGTCTTCTTGGAGCATTGCTTCCACTTCCTTCAGGGCCTGTGCTGCTTTGAGAGGATTAAGCCTGTAGGGGTATTGTTTTATTGGAACAGCCCTACAGTCAACCTCATGTGCTATGGTATTAGTCCTCCCCATTCTATTTCTACATATGTCCTCATAGCACTGCAACAAGTCTTTCAATTCAGTTCTCTGTTCCTGGGACAGATAGCTCACTACCCTATCCTATTCTTTAAGGACTTCCTCATTATTCAATTTATCCCAAGGCACATCAAAATCTAAATCATCTGGATTTGATTCCTCACTCTGCGCAGCAGTAACTAATGCCTGTTTCTCCGGTTCCCTTTCCCATAGTAAGGTTTCAGCATGTTCACATGATATACCCGATAATATTTTTTCCTACCTGGCATCTTTACTAAATAATTCACCTGACTTAACTTTTTCTCAATTAATAGGGATCACTAAACCTTGCTTTGAAGGGATCTCTTACTACTGGTAACAGCAGCAATACTTTGTTCCCATGGGGAAATGTATGAATTTTAGATTTCTTATCTGCTTCTTGCTTCGTTTGGTGCTGTGCCACCTTCAAATGTTGTCTAGTTAATTCCTCTACTCTGTTTAATCAGATACATAATCCAACTGTGAGAACTCTGACTTTGGACCTATCAACAATTCCTTAAATAATTTTAAAGGCTCTCTTACTTTGTGTCTGAATATCAATTCAAATGGAGAAAACTGAGTTGATTCATTTGGAGCATTCCTCACAGCAAATAATGTAAATGGGATATGTTTATCCCACTCATTTGGGTAATCCTGGCAATAAGCCGTCAGCATTGTCTTTAGGGTCTGATGCCACCAATGCTCACTGGGATTCAGGATGATACGCACTTGATATAAATGTTGGATGCCTTAGGTATCCATGACCTCCTCAAATAGTTTGGAAGTAAAATTGGACCCTTGGTCTGACTGAATCCACTTGGGTAGTCCACAATGGGTAAAGAAAGGAAGCAACTCCTCCACAACCTTTTTGCCTTGACATTCCATAATGGAATTGCCTCTGGAAATCTGGTAGAAGCAACCATCATGGTTAGCAAATACTGGTTCCCATTTTTGGTTTTCGGGAGGGTCCTACACAATCCATCTTAGCCCATGTGAAAAGGTTCTTCAAGTGTGGGAATTGGCATCAAAGGCATTGGTTTTGTTACTGCCTGTGGCTTTCCTACCATCTGACACGTATGACAGGTGCAGCAAAATTCAACCACATCTTTCTGTAAGCCAGGCCAAGAGAATATATCGTAGCCTGAGTCTCCGTCACTTCTAGATGACCTCCTACAGGTATTTGCAAGTGTACTACCCGCAATACTTCCTGTCTGTATTCTACCAGTAACACAATCTGATGAACTTCCATCCATTTCTCCTCTGCACTAACCTGCCAAGGTTTCCATTTCTGCCTTAAGATTCTACCTTAATATAATAACATTCTGGAATAAATTCTGATCCCTTTTCCAAGTAAGGTCTATGATATAAATCCTTTATCGTCTCATCTTTTTGTTGTAACTCCACTAATCTTTCAGAACTAAACACCTCTGCCTGATCCTCTACCTGCTTGGGTTTTTCCTTTACCATCTCATCAAACAGAGTGTCAGCGAACTGGACCTGAACTCCTTCATTTTTCTCTTTTGTTTTCATTTCTTATTTTAACTTATGGCCATGGGATCTTGTCATCACATAGTCCAGAAAAATTCCAGGTTATTTTCCTTTTAACTCCTCAGTTCCCTGGTTTTCTTTCAGCTTCTCCATTGCAACGGGCGTCGCTCCCACCTTTGCTCCGGCTATATCTTTTCCAAGAACAAACTGTATTCCTGGAATAACCACTCTTTCAATCACTCCTACTGTCACTTCCCCAATCTTGATTGGATTTTCTGGCCTTATCTTACACAGGGGAATGCTAAATCTCTCTGCATTTATTCCACAGATTGTCACTCTCTCGGGCAACGTTTCAGGAGGAGTGCAAAGATTTTCATCTCTTACTATTAGAGACTGATCAACTCCCGCATCTCTAAATATTTTTGCTTCTTTACCTTCTCCCCCTGTTCTACCTGAGTTAATCTTACCCACAGAGGTGAAGTCTTTGAAAAAATTGGGCACTGTCTTACTACCCAGCCTGTGACTAGGCTGTGCACTCTTCTGCAACTTCTTGACTTCTCTTGGGATTTCCTTCACTACCTCAACTAATCCCACTAGTATAGCCTCTTTTATCACATCATTTTTCCCAGTGCCTCTCTTAAACCACCAGCACTATGACTTTGTGCATCTCACCTTATTGCAATGAAAACACCTGAGGATTTTTACCTCTTTTCTATCCTCTTGGGTTTCTTTTTTCACATGTGGTAAACTGTTCCCAGTGTGATCTACTTTTGTTTTTCATTAAAGGATCTCCCTCATTTCCAATTTCTATCCTTCATGGAATGAAATTGCTGTCGGAAGCTAAATTTTGATTTATGTACTAATATGTATTCATCTGCCATCTCTGCAGCTCTTCTCACTGTTTTAACTTTCTGTTCCTCAACATGAGTTCTTATCACTTCGGGAAACGAGTTTTCAAATACCTCCGGCGGAATAAGATCTCTAAAGTGCTCAGATGTCTTTTCTATCATTAATGCTGTCACCCATCTATCGAAGTTGCTCTGTTTAATTCTTTCAAACTTGATATAAGTCTGACCTGGTTCCTTTTCTATATTCCTGAACTGTTGTCTATATGTTTCTGGCACTCAGAATAGCCTGTTTTACTTCTTCACGTTCTCTTGACACCTCATCTGACAGCGCAGCAAACACATCATTAGCCCTGCCTACCAACTTGGTCTGAATTAACATTACCCACACAGTCACTGGCCAGTTCATCTGTTTAGCTAATTTCTCAAAGGAAATGAAAAAGTCTTCTACATCTTTTTCATTGAATTTTGGTAATGTTTTGGCATATTTGTATATATCCCTACCAGGTCTTTGTCTACGATGGGTTTGCTCATTATCAGTCTCCTCCTCACTGACCCTATCTTCTACCTTCATTTCCATCATTTTAAGTCGGCTATCCTGCCTAATTTGCAACTTCTGAAGTTCAAATTCTCTCTCTTTCTCCCTTCCTTCTCCCTCTTTTTCCTCTGCCCTGGCTCTTCTTTCCCTTTCTTTATCTTCTAACTCCAATTGTCTAATTTGCAATTTGATTTTTTCTAATTCCACTGCATTTAACTGTTTCTCTGAAAAACATAAATGCTTGAGTAACTCCTTTACAATTTCATCTATCTTCTTATACCTACTTAAACCCCATTCTAGCCTGTCTGCTAATTCTAAAAGTGTCTCCTTTCTCTACCTTTCTAGGCAAATTTAGGAAGCATTTTCAACCCCAGAGCCTCTTTAGTAATGTTAAGAGCCATTTCCCCACTTTTGATTTAACCAACAACAGTCAACTAAAATCAAACAGATTTTCCACTTCTTACTGATGTTTTATTTAAAGATCTAGGGCACTGATCCCCAAGTCTGTTTAAATCTGATGGGACCTTTCATGCCCTAAATCTGTCCAGATCCATTCAAATCCTGGACTCGAGCTGTTCCAATGTATCCAAATCCCTGACCCGAACTCTCAATCTGTTACAAAGTGGAGGTTGATCCCCGCCCCCCCTAAAACCAAAACACCCGAAGATGTTCACTCACCATATAATCTGTTACAAAACTGCCTCTCACCCCCAATCTATTACAAAGGAGTGGTTAAATGAAATAAACTCTTGACACTCACTTTATAAATCTAAAAGTAACAATTAATTTATCTAACTCTAGCTGTGAACAAATTAACTGAGCTATTAACAAGCCGAACGATTCCCCTCTAACGATTCCCAAATTAAACAAAATTCTATTGCTATGCTGTTCTAATAAATACAAGTACCACTTACATAAAGCAAAATAAAAAAAACTTAGAACTTAGTCTTTCAAAATTACAACTAGGTTACGTCTTCTGGAATGTCCTGTGTCTTCTTCATTGACCTTCTGTCAGGAACACCTTCTCTGTTGAATTCGTTTGTCAGAAACATTAACTATTTGTGCTGTAAATAGCATTAAACTTAGATGGAGCTTACTCTAAGGCTTAGACTTTTTTTGTTAAATCTCCAAGCCTAGAAAAACCACATCATCTTTTAAAGGGACCACACACTGCTTTCTCCCCTATCTTTTTATAAACATCAATATTTTACAAACACCAAATTCTAATGTCCTGGCTCCCAATCCACAAGTATTCTACCCAACTTCGCCACAGTTTACCATCAACAACTTCACTGTATATTGCTTTGTGTGTGATATGATTGGGTGAAGATGTGAAATCAAATTAAAAAGTTGGAGAACGCAATTAAGGAAGAAAACTGCAGGCAAGAGAAGCTGCTCTTTATTTTTACATTAAAATATAAGTAATAAGATACAGACTATTTCAATCTGTGAAAGTGCGTACAACGTGCTAGGTCATCGATATAAACAATATGATTTGATTTGATGCAGGAGACAGCTGCATTTATTTTAATGAGAGATCAAAAGCAATGGACAGAATGCATTTAAATAAAAGGCTGGATTCTTCCAACAAAATGTAAAATTATTTTACTTTTTATGCAATTTGCCAAAAGTTTTTTTTTGAAATGAATATGATTAGAGATAACTTAGTCTCTTTTTAAATAAATAATTTGGCAGTGAATCTGCCTCTTACACAATGGCTGCACACCTCGCTTTCTGATACTGATGACTTTTACTTTTCTTATTGGTTGCAGTAGCCTTCGAGATCATAAAGGGAACAGGTATTGTGACAGCAGTGATCCACTATACCCCTCTTCATCATCCGGCCCAGCAGTTTATTGAATAGAAATTTCTGCTGAGCCTCATTTTCTTGAGCAGACTCTTCACCACGTAATCCTGAAAGTGAATAATTCAACAAGTGGTCTTATTTTATTTCTCCTATCCTTAGAAAGTCATAGGATCTGTGCAAAAAGAACTATTAATGGGCCGTATTTCATGGAGTGCTATATCCTCAGACCCCTCTGACCTAAATTGTCAGGGCAGGGGAGCCCATCCAGACAGCTGGCCCACAACAATTTAACATTGGGAAGAATATTTAGGTGAGATGTTTACCCCTAGATTGGAAGGATGCCCCTCAGAGAGTGGCCGGTCAATCACATGACTGGCAACTCTGCATATCCAGCTTTGCCATTCAGAAACCAAGATAAGCCAGTAGTCTCAGGCAGGCGTGTGGAGGACTTTGTAAAGGAGGTTGAGTGCAGTGTTGAATGGGACTGGTGTTCCGCCATTGACGAATGCAATGAAGAACTGCCAATTTGCCTGCCATCAACCATACAGTTTAAAGGTGCCAGGCTTCCATCAAGGTGCGGGCACTCACCCCACACCCCGTTCACCAGGGGTAACATACATCTGGTTGCAAGTTGAGGCCCTTTATTAGCTTTATGAGCCTCAATAAAGCAAAGCTCCAATGGGCTTTCTAACACCTCCACCCAGCCCTGTAAAATTTCAGGCCAGCTGGGAGAACAGGAAAGCCTGATTTTACCTGAACCTACACTTATGTCTTCATCACTAAGTTTACTTGAAAAGCCTTTTTCTTTGACCATTCTGTATTAGACACAAATATAGATAAGTCTTCAGAAGAATTTCATGAAACATTAAGATAGCAGACAATGTGAAAAGATGCAGACAGTAGGGAGGAGGGCTCTCACTCTGTCAGTAACTGTTTTGGCATCTTTGCAAACCTGTAGATGTACATTTGCCAAAATTCGCAGTGTATCAGTGAATTTATGTTTTACAGCAAGGAAGTTCTGCTGATCTTTTATAAATACCAGTTCGGCTTCAGTAGAGTGTTGTCTTTAATGCTAGGTTTCACGCTTCTGAAAAGATGGGAAGTTCTTCAAGAGAGATTTACACGAAATGGTATCAAGTATAAAAGACTTTAGCCAAGTAAAGTTTTGGGAAAAAAAATTCAGATTGTTTTCCCTAGGGAGGTCAGAAATTGTTAATGGAAAGGTTAAAAATTATAAGAAATTTTGATATGGAGCGTATAATTAGAGATGATTTTCAGTGTAAGAAGGTTTGATAACCAAAGGACAGAAGTACAAGATCACTGGCAAAATACAATAAAGAAAGAGATTGCCATTTTCATACAATGCATGAATGGAATGAAACGCTTGGAGAAGAAGATGTTCATACCTGAGAAACGGGGAAAATTCAGTGCTGTGGGGAAAGAGAAGGTGAATGGGACTAATTGAATAGATCATTTAAAAAGTTAGCACTGTCACAAGAAAGTGTGCAAGAGGGTAAGGCGGTACATGCTACGTGCTGGCATTTTCAAAAGGCTTTTGAAAAGAGATTATGTAGTAGACTAATGACTAATCTCAGAATATATGGAGTCAGGGGACAAGCAGCAGAATAGACAGCAAACTGGCTACAAAACAGAAAATAAGAGAGCAAAGGATCACAGTAATTACTGAGACGAACATCAAGTTAGAAGTATTGTTCCACACAAACTGACACTGGAACCATTGCTGTTCACCATTCATACAATTTAGACTCAGGAACAAGAAAAATAATTTCAAAATTTGCAGATGACACCAAATTGGAGCTACATTTAGTATAGAAAAAGAATGCAACAAAATTAAAGAATACATTAATAAACGTGCAGAATGTTTGTGCAAATGACTTAGAGTTTAATATAGTTCAGTGTGAGATGTTATAAATGGTAGAAAGAAGAAGAAGGCCACATACTCTTTGGAAAATAGGACTGATAATGGGACAAGGAGCAAATAAATCCTCGGGTTCAGATTCCTCAGTTATTAAATGTATCAAGCAAGTTAATGAGATGATAAAAACATTCAAACCAAGCAACACAATGGTTTCCTAGTGAAATTGGAAGAGCAGAGAACTTGCATGAACCTTGCAAGGAACCTTGATCAGGTCACACTTAGAGAAGTGTCTTCCACTCCAATCTCCATATTATGAAAAGGATATTGGAGAAGGTGGAACAAGAAATTTTCAAGGATGATGATACCAGAATTGAAATGTTCCAACTATCAGGAAAGACTGAACAGTCGGGAATCTTTCTTCTAGATGAGACAAGGCTATTTGATGACCCAATTATTAAAGTTGTTAAAATTATGAATGAGCTTCATAGGGTGGAGGTAAAGATGTTTCCACTTGTGATAAGCCCAAACTAGGGCCCATAAAAAAAAGATAGTCACAGATAAATCTAAGAAAGGATTAAGGTGAATTCTTTACTGTCAAAGTAATTAGACTGTGGAGACTGATATAATGTAGAGTAGTTGAAGTTAATAGTTTAGTGCATTTAAGGGATTGCTAGGTAAGTATATGATGGGGGAAGAAGAAGGATATGCTGATAGCCTTAGATGAAGTAGGACACATTGGAGATCAGGCAGGGCATTTTTTGTATGGTCTATTTATGTGCTGTACATCATTTGAAGCTCTATGTAACAGTGAACAGGGTGGCCCATGTGTTATTTCCTTCTATTGGAACTATCGGGTGGGACAAAATCAAATAGCCCCCCGAACATTCCACCACCACCCATCTCAAGTTAATCTCAGTGAAAATCTAACCTTAATGGCTCAGGGGGTAATGTTGGACGTGATTTCTGACTCCCATACATCATTCAGATTAAACTCCCAATCATTATGAAATACAGAAAAGAAATCCATTTATTGTTTGCCTGTAGATTTGGGCTAACATACCTAGAAGCTGCTCGATGCCTCTTTTTGTTTTAGGTTCATAGTAGAAACCCTTACTTCCGCACACAAAATATAGAGCATCCACAAGCTGCGAGCCACACAGGTGCTGTGAAGGTTGTGTTTCTAATCCTTTCGGGCAAGAGAAGATGAACAATACAGCCACCAGCACAATTTGATTCCAAAGCACCATTTCAATGATTAAATGTAGGATTCCTTTCAAAATAAAAGAAAGAAATAAATTGCATGTACAGAATGTCTTCCACATTAGTGGTTTGTCCCTATGTTCTTCCAAGTAAGTTGACTACTCATACTTTTGTGTCCTTCTTAATGAAATCCAGACTACCGAATGCCTTAATAACTGCTCTCTCCATCTTTTCTGCCATTTTCAGTGATTTGCACACATTTATACCCAGTTCCCCCTGCATCTGCACTCACTTAAATACTGTACCCATTTTTTTAAAAAATGGACACTAGTCATGTCACCCACTTCTGGTTGCTCCAGAATAGTACCTGTACCTGTCTAATAATACTTATACATTAGTGCAGACCTCACACGGCTGAATAAAGCCATGGATTGAGAAATTCAGAGGCAGGGAGGGTAGCTCATTTGTACACTGCAAGATCACAAAAGTAGTAAGCAGATGATCTTGTCTGGTGACGGTAATTCAGAGATTGAATATTGACCAGGACCTGTTCCTTGTCTTCTTTGAAAAGGGCTATCTTCACTTGTACATTGAACAGGCTGCTTAGGATTCTTGTCCCAATATCTTACCCAAAAGACTGTGCCAACTCTTGCCAGCCTTAGTTTGAGTGCCCAAGAGCTGGAGAAGGGCTTGAACAACTGCTGAGCAATGCAATTTTCAGGAACAATTGACCAAATTTATAACAAATATGTTAAGTCAAGATCAGAGTTTCATTCAAATTTCAGCTTTGAAAATGTCATAGTACTCTTACCTGACCAGTCTACTGCAGCTTGACTCTGAGCCTGTTGAATGTGCGCCGTCTATTGTGACAGCAAGTTTATTTATACTGCAAGCTGTCCAGCTGTTTGCTTTAAATTTGATGTTTGGCTCTTAAAATATCACCTACGTTGATCATCTGGTAAAAATCTTGCTATCTTTGCACATTAGTTAATTGTTACATTTTGCAACTCATTTAACTTATCCCCTGTAAATGTTTGCACTGGTAATCTTTGTCCTTCATTTATTCTCAGCATCAGAAGCTGCTCATAAACCATGATCATTTCACTTTCAAGTGCTGTTAAACCTTCCAGAACAGCTCTGAAATTGTCCATAGGTCAATTAGTAACAACTGGAGCCATCTTAGTAGGTGCAATTGATATATTAACTGCACTTCATTGTTTTGCTTATTAGGCTCAGTAATGGCAAGAGAACACTTCTAAGCACTTAAAGATCCAGCCTGCCCTTCTTAATGAACTTGTTGATTCGTTGATGTAGCAGTTTGCTAGGAATTGAACAGAACTGTATTGACGTGAATCAGACAATGATTTTGCCATCACCTTCCTATAACAGGTTGAACCCTCTCGATCTTCCCAGACCTGCGTGATTAATAGCTCACTCTGTTTTTCCCTCGGTTCAGCTATTTCTTTTTCCCTTTGCTCTTACTTGCCTCCTTCAAGAGGTGAGGTGCCTTTACTCATTGGATTTTATGATGTTGCTTTCTAAAAATTGTTCTGCATGCGCTGTTTGAAATGTTGATCTTCTGCTGATTTTTCTAGCCTTTTCTCTTTCGGTTCCTGCAAGACTTTAGGGGCTAATCTCAATTCTGTGCAATAACGTGGTGATATTAAACTGCCTATTTGTACCTCATCCACTTTTAATTCACTGACTTCACTGATTGAAATGGAAGACAGGCTGCTGATTCATCATTACACAGTCTACATGCCACAGTTCCATGGAAAGCAGCTGCCCTTTGGTACTGTACTTTGCCTAAGTGGCTGGTCTTTATGCATGTACTCATCATTCAGTCTCAATGAGCTTTTACACAGAGCATGACATTTCAACAGAACTGATTTCTGGTCTCCCTCAGGGATACATACAGGCACCTATATGAAATTTCTCCTTTACTTTAACCCTTGGATTTCCCCCACTTCTAACATCCTGCCTCAAGCCAGCTATTTCTGGACAAAAATGGACCTATCTGGCCTTAATTGCTCAGTTCCATGTCAGACACAAGCTGTTGATTGTGACAAAACCACAACTGGGTTCTGACTGCTTAGTGCAAAAGCTAATGGACATTTAACTATATACTTATAGGTTTCTGATGGGATTTAACAGGCTAGATGTTGAGAAGGTGTTTCCATTATTGGATCTCAAACTAACGGACGTAGCTACAGAATAAGGGGATACTCATTTAAAACTGAGGTGCAAAGGAATTTCTTCCCTCAGAAAGTATCAAAAGTCTGGAATTCTCCTCCACAGAGAGTTGTGGAGGCTAGATCACTGAAAACATCGAAAGACAAGGGAGATTGACTTTTGAAATATCAGGGAGACTATGGCTATGGTGAGCTGAAATGAACGACGAATTGAGGCCTGGGGAAAATCAGGCATGATCTTGTCCAATTGTGGAGCAGGCTTGAGGGTAGAAGCGGCCTATTCCTGCTCCTAATTCTTGAGTTCTTATTTACAGAAAGAGGGTCATTAGAATTCCATTAGAATATTCTTCCCTCAGGTTACCTCAGTTCCATGTGATGGAACATGATCTTATGCCATTCAACATGCTTTCTACATATTAATCGATTATGTTACACCTCACTCATATCTTCCATTCTATCCATAAACTATTCACAGCATAAACTATTTACATTTTTATGCTACTCCTACTCGCCCACAAACCTACCATCCTCCCTTACTGAACTTGCTGTTGGACCCTCCAAGTCAGAAGGGAAGATGGTGGGCTTGACGAATCTACCTGAACGTGTACTACTTTCTCTTGGAGGTGGATATAAGCTCAGGGTATCACACACTTCACCTGAGCAGTCAACCCAGTTTTGCAAAGACCTCTTGCTGGTAGACACCAGCATCAATCCGTTGAGTCTGAAGATGCTTTGGTTAATTTTAAATTAGTAACAATCAAGGGAAAGGGCATGGAACATGGATATGAGGAGTGTCAGATCAGTCATGAGCCTATTGAGTGGTGGAATAGATTTGAGGGGCTGAACAGTCTACCGCTATGTCTTATGGTCTTATGGAATGAGGATGAATCAAAAATCTCAAAACTCGGTCAGGTCAGTTCTGGTCCTGGGTCTAGACAGACTCCCCAGGATGGAGTGTTGGCAGTTCCTGGATCTTATGGAGATGTTTGAAATTCACAGACTGGTTTGTATGATATTGCCTAGCCTGATCTTATCAAAGTGGACGTGTGTAATATCTGGTTGGAGAGTATTGCAGTAGAATTCAAATCCAACTGCATAATCTCCTACTCATTAGGAGCTCTGAAGGAGTCATACCATTGTGTAAAGATATGGACTGATAACAAAGCTATTTAATGTTGTCATTTTCTTTAACAGGATCTTGACCATACAGAGTCTCTCTTCAGTATTATCATTGCCTCGTGGGTATCAAGGTGAATGGGTAACATATATAAAACTTAGGATTCCAAGAATTGTTTGAAGCAGTCATTAGTTAACTGCAAGCCCTTGTTGCAGATGATCATCTTAGGAATGTAGTATGTGATGAAAATCTATTTGAGCATCGCAAACTGCTGTTAAGTGGGGGCCGTATACTTGCTTGAACTTCATCATAAGAAGTAGTAGTGAATGAGAATGAGGATGGTTTTAAACTTGAAGTTGATCTGAACTATCCCAAGATTTTACCAAGGGTAAAGCCATCAAGGGCCCCTTGCCCTTCTGCCTATAGGTATCACACATTGGCCAATTAGGATAAGTATTCAGTGGCCTTGATATACCAGGGGACGTAATGGTCTAATGGTATCACTGGCATGTTAATCCAGAGACACAGGGAATGTTCTGGGTCTGAATCCCGCAATGGCAGATGGTGGAATTTTAATTCAATAAAAATCTGGATTAATAGTCTCACGATGACCATGAAACCATTGCCAATTGTCAGGAAAACCCCATCTGGTTCACTAAAATCCTTTAGGGGTGGATACTGCCATCCTTATCTAGTCTGGCCTACATGTGACTTCAGACCTACAGCAATGTGTGGTTGACTCCTACCTGCCCTTTGGGCAATTAGGGATGGGCAATAAATGCTAGCCAAACCAGCGATGCCCAAATCCCATGAATGTATAAATAATTTTTTAGAAAGGCCACCAGACAGAGAGGTAGGCCCATGCTCAGCACTTGTCTATGGCCAGGTAATGCTGATGTAGATATTGAGAATGTCCAAACTGAGAAACCTTAGGAGTAATGTTGTTGTTGTTGTAGATGAGGAGGTTGTCCTGGAGACTAAAATGATAGCATTGCTCAAAGTATTCATTTAGAATGGAATTAGTTGGGAAATATGCAGGTCATCCCATGACACAGTCCTGCCACATATTGTAAACATTCCTGTGTCAGCCTTCTAAACTCCACCAATTTCTTCAACCTTCCGAGCGGTCACCAGGAAGAACTTGTTTGACAAAGAAACATAAGTTTCCACATCATAAGTTAACTGGATATTATCTTGTGTAGGCTTTCCCACGGGGATGCAGGACAAATCATCAGCTTGTGGTCTTGAGTTTGCTTTGATAAATTCCATGGAGGAATCAGACCACATATGATATATCGGAATTGTTGGATTTTGGGGGTAACATTTTTCCAGCTTTTTGGCGTTAAGGAGAATTCCAATGGTTTGTGACTTCTCTGAATTGTTAGCTTCAGACCTAGGTATTGTTTAAGAACTTTTCATAGACCTAGATGACTATCAACATCTCTTTCTTCATCATCACATATATCCACATATCCATATAGGAGAGTGGAAGCAGTGACATTGTGGTTATGCCTCTAGACTAGCAATCCAGCACCCCAGGTTAATGCTTGAGGGACAAGAGTTCAAATCCCACTATAGTAAGTGGAATTTAATTCAATGAAATTTGGAGTAAAGAGTTGGCTTAATGAAGATTATTGTTTAAAGAAAGCCTATCGAGTTCAAAAGTGTCTATTAAGGGAGGATATCTGCCATCCTTATTGGTATGGCCTACATGTGACTCCAGACCCACAGCTCTTAACAACCCTCTGGGTAGTTAGGGATGGGCAAGAGATACTGGCTAAGTTTAACCTGAGAAAGGCAAAACAAAGAGTTATCAGCAGGGGCAGGAGCAGATAGGGAGAACTTGACCACTCTCACAAAAGACTAGAGATCAAGTGGGCATGATTTAAGTTGATTGGCAGATCTAGTGGTGGAGGAAGAGTCAATTTTGACATTCAAGAGGCCATTGAATGTTTATTTGAATGGAAATAATGTTCAAGAATATAGAGGAAAGACAGGTGAATGGCATTAAGTCACAATTTTCATTGGAGAGTCAGTGTAATCACGATGGGCCAAATGGCATCCTTCTGCAGCAAAGCGATTCAGTGATTCAGCGACAGTCCCCACTGCCTCCCCCAGCACATCAGTCTTCAATCTCCTTTCTCACCTAAGGTAAGAGAGCATGTGGAACCTTTCTTGGGCTATCTGTCTCAGCTTTCGACTAAGGTGCAAGATCTGTAAGAATGTGCCCATTATCAGTGCTCTATAATTGTCCTTAGCATCAGCTAAGATCCTCAGTATATAAGTCTCAGATTGCCATCACCATGTATAAATATAACAACTGGGCTCTTGGTGTGTTTGACAGATGAGGACTGGAAACCATGCCAATGCAAACTAACAAACGTTTATTAACTACTTATTTAGACATGGTATGGCAGAACTCAATTAGATCCTTCTTCACTCAGGCCTTAGTTCCATGTGATGTGACATCAAAGATGATGCACTCTAATTTTTAGTGTAATGGCAATTAAGCCCTTCTGTTACAGCATTCAGAGAACAAAGTCATCACAATATCTAGATGCAGGATGTCTGCAGGAATGGCCAATGTGGT